AGGGAATCATGACATCCCTGTCGAACCAGTGCTGCCGAATCACTTAGTGCTTCATCTCGGATTTCATCAAAGCCAATGAATGCAGCAAGTCACTTCTGCTTCCTTTTCAGATATCACTTTTCTGTCACGTCGCCCACGGAAAGTTGAAAAAGTTGAATTACAAGTGGTATGAATTTGTCGTTGACTTCCAGTGGCGATTCGCATTATTCTTTTCCAGGTTTCTTGTGAAGATCATTCATCCTACATTCTGCTTCAAACATGTTGGGTAGTAATTCATAGCAATTCTTTCTCTGTGTTAGTGGGAGTTAATGATGTCTTTTTTGAAATATAACACACTCATCCGTTGCTTCCAAAACTTCTTTACCTACCTCACAACCCAACCATTCACACGTTCACCTAACCTGCAATTTCGTTACAAACATTCGCAATAACTTATTTTCTACTGTTAAACTGACCTCTAAACAGAAAATGGATGTAGCCTTCTATCAATTAGCTTCCGGACACAACGAAACTCAACCAAAACCGATAAGGATGTGAATGCTTGATTGGGCTTTTCAATACGCTGCTCAAACCCCCAGTGTATCTCGGGTATGCAAATCGCGATCAGTAAATACAACTGATTACCATCAACATCTGAGAAAATGGTTCTCGCCAAGTGAGACCATTGTTTCCGTTGCTCACCTGATAGAATTCTGGCTCTCTCTGCAGGTAGCCCTTCTAGCGAATACGCATTCCTCCATATTCACCTTGATATCTTTCTTCAGGCATTCATCTTCAAAATCAATCATACTTGAATTCTGAGACGCAGTCCTGGAGAAGGATGTAACCTGCCTCAAAGTATCTATCCTTTCTCATCTCACTGGATCAGCAACATGACTCAGCAGTGATTTAGTGTCCAAACCGTTGTCAAGAAACACACATGCACGCCGAAATCACTTAGGATCTATGGTCCGAAACGGCAAACACCCTACGAAGAAACTTCCTTATTCTGCTCTAGCATAGTTGATAGTCTTCTCTGCAGGGCTGCCTTCAAAATGCAGCAGTTTATGGTGACATCGACTGCATACGATTACATTACAATTCCTTGCTGTACGGTCAGGGCTAACTCCGGAACATCATTTCAAACATTTGAAGCACAGCTCATGCTGCATCAAAAACGCGAGTCTATATTTGTGACCGATCCACACAGATGAGAGGCAGTCACATAATTCATGATCTCCAGAGCAAACTAAGCGTGACTCCCGTACTCGTGCAGTAACGACGCTAACACGTCATTCTTTCAGTTCTCATTAGCTGTTTGGCCTTAACACTCAATGGCTGGTAGCGACTGGCTTAAGAATGAAGGCTAACGCAGGGTGTAGTAGAATGCAATGGAATACAGCATACTTAGCTATCACATCCTACTTTTGCATAAGATGCGTTAACCTCTGGTTGTCTTCGTTAGCTATGGCACCTCTTATCATATTCAAACACTTCTTAAACTTCCAAAACTTGTTTGGTTTCACATGGAATTTATCTGTCCCTATTCGGAGCATTCGGATGAGACTTAGAAAATTCTGGATCGATGCGACTGGTTGACTAATATGCTCAAGCACAGGGGTCGAAATTCAGTGGTTGCTACTGATATCATCAAAGAACTTGCTTTTCGATGTTGAGGGACCAGGATCGGTTATTCTCCGATACAGCAGTGATCTACTGACGATTGCAATTCGGCATTCTCAACATATTTCAACGCGCATAGGAGTCTAAATCTAGAGATATGTTATCTGAAATGCAGTCTCACGATCCAAGACAATATCTGGGTCTACTATTTCGGTGAATCACGTGGAAAACGTTGAAATACATAGACTAAATTTTGAAATGTGATAATAAGATATTGGTGATACTTCTAAAGACAAATCTCACCCAAAGTAAATGTTTCACGAAGTCACGATCTGCAGTCATCCGAAGACAATGCTGAGTACGTGTGCAATGAAAGAGTGTGATAATGATGAATTTATGTACATGGATATGAAGAGAACGAAAAAAGCAGGGAACGGTGAGAGCGACTATCGTCTACTCGCACACACTGCACACACTTACTCAACTCACTATGTGTTCACGTCCTCGGAAGCTCGAAATCAACCTCACAAGTAGTTGAGTCGACACGAAACTCGATCAAATTCTCGTGCTTATATATATGCACATGTGGTCGGTTTGATGACCTGATGAGAGTGTGTATCACGTAGTAGTAGTGTCACTACAATCAGTTATGATATTCACCTGAACACTTTCATTGCACACGTACTCAGGATTGTCTTCGAATGACCGCAGATCGTGACTTCGTGAAACATTTACTTTTGGTGAGATTTGTCTTTCAAAGTATCACCAACAACTTATTGATCGCAACTCAAAATTTAGCCTATGTATTTTAACGTTTTCCACGTGATTCACCGAAATAGTAGACCAAGATATTGCCTTGGATCGTGAGACTGCATTTCAGATAACATATCTCTAGATTTAGACTCCTATGTGCGTTGAAATATGTTGAGAATGCAGGACGGCAATCGTCAGTAGACCACTGCTGTAGCGGAGAATAGCCGATCCTGGTCCCTCAACATCGAAAAGCAAGTTCTTTGATGATATCGGTAGCAACCACTGAATTTCGACCCCTGTGCTTGAGCATATTAGTCAACCAGTCGCAACAATCCAGAATTTTCCAAGTCTCATCCGAATGCTTCAAATAGGGACAGATAAATTCCATGTGAAACCAAACAAGTTTTGGAAGTTTAAGAAGTGTTTGAATATGATAAGAGGTGCCATAGCTAACGAATACAACCAGAGGTTAACGCATCTTATGCAAAAGTAGGATGTGACAGCTAAGTATGCTATATTGCATTGCGTTCCACTATCTCCTGAGTGAGGTTATCAGTTGGCATTGGGTATGCTACGCAACCAGTTTGACCAACCTCCGTCAATTCCTGCAACTGTCCTCTTTCAATGGTTATCAGACAATCGGCTGCATCGAGAAGATCTATCTTGGCTGAGGAAGATGGTAAGACATGACAAATTGTGCGATAGTGTTGCCTCAAATGGATCACGCTGTTCACTTGAACGCTTCTATCAATCTCTGGTGAATTGTTGATTGTACGTGCAGTTGAAATCGGCTGAATTGCTGAACGAATGTGTGAATTATTCTGAGCCTGATTTTCGTCTTCTCACAGAATCCTTCCAAAGTCAGCTGCTATCAGCCATTGAGTGTTAAGGCTGAATAGCTTTTGGGGAGAACCTTTCTTCAGATGTTGAATATAATCAGGAGTATTCACTGATTTCGACTTGCACACTCGAGATACACTGGGGGTTTTAGCATCTTATCGGGAAGCCCAATCAATCATTCACAAATTCTTAAGATTTGGTTGTGTTTCGTTGTTTCTGGAAGACAACTGGTAGAAGGCTACATCCATTTTCTGTTTAGAGGTCAAAAAAGAGTAGAAAATAAGTAATTTCGAATGTTTGTAACAAAAGTGCAGGTTAGTCGAACGTGTGAATATATCATCCATTCTGCTCACATTAGCAATTTAGCCTTACCACTCAATGAATGATAGCAGTCTCACGATCCAAGACAATATCTGCGTCTACTATTACGGTGAATCTCGTGGAAAACGTTGAAATACATTGGCTAAATTTCGAATTGCGATCAATAAGTTGTTGGTGATACTTTGAAAGACAAATCTCACCAAAAGTAAATGTTTCACGAAGTCACGATCTGCGGTCATTCGAAGACAATCCTGAGTACGTGTGCAATGAAAGTGTTCAGGTGAATATCATAACTGATTGTAGTGACACTACTACTACGTGATACACACTCTCATCAGGTCATCAAACCGACCACATGTGCGTATATATAAGCACGAGCATTTGATCGAGTTTCGTGTCGACTCAACTACTTGTGAGGTTGATTTCGAGCTTCCGAGGACGTGAACACATAGTGAGTTGAGTAAGTGTATGCAGTGTGTGCGAGTAGACGATAGTCGCTCTCACCGTTCCCTGCTTTTTTCGTTCTCTTCATATCCATGTACATAAATTCATCATTATCACACACGACATGTGAACTCCTCTCATGTCCACATCCTTCCTCTCCAACAGAATCACAATGCGAATTTTCGTCACGTTACTGCTGAGTCTGGTGTTCCATCAACATGTGTTGGCCGAACCGATACCTGTCGAATGGAGTGATCAAGGTAGGTAGATATGTCTGTCTGTGTCTGTGTCTGTGGATGTGGATGAGTGTGGTTGTGTGAGTTTGCCAACCATTGGGCTGGGAATGTGAACACAATGAGAGACCGATTCGCGTTGGTGCATATTTGTCAGAAATTATGAGTGTGCATCTGAGAGGTGTTGGTTGAACTCATCTACGATAGCAGATATTTTTGCATTCATCGAAAGGAGGCACATCGACTGACTGGCGTCGAGAAGGCTTTCACCGGCCTGAGTCCTTTTACTTCCCCGATTCCAGCAAAAAATGAGGTTATTGTTGTATTTTTTATATATTGATGAGTTGAAGTTTAGGTAGCAATTTGGTTTAGTTTTCAGGGTGGAGTTGTTAGCAACACGCCACAACCCTCCGTATTTATGCGGGCTTGGGACCAGCTAAAACACTAGTCAGCTAGTAATCTAGACGAGGTCAATAAACCGAGTTAATAAATTCCAACTGAAGATGATGCTACAGTGAACATCTCAGCTGATACGTGGGGTTCATTCATTAAAACAGACGAGCATCGGAAAGCATTTTGACGAGCATACAAGTGAGAGGAATGCTTTGGTCCTGCTATTGGTTGTCTGTGGAATGTGGTGACTTTACACTCAGCTGAACAGTAGTCGCTTTTGCATGTAACACAGGAAGATCGGATATGTGTGTATGTACGCTGGTTGGCTCATTCGTATTTTCACTGGAATGTGTGTGATTGAGCATTCGGAATGTTGTAGATGATCATGCCTTCTTCTTCTTCTTCCCACTACAGAACTGAATGTCACCCAACAAGGAAGTGATGGAGAAGGCAAGATTGTGGGAGATGGTGTGACTGCTGCTCCTACAGTCACTGCTATACTTACTTCAGACGGTACTGGTGATGACAGTGATGAGGATGACGAAGAAAATTCAGACACGAACACAGGTGATGAAGCAGCCAATGAAACTTCAGATGACACTGACAGCATTGACGACAGTGACTTGACTTCGATGAATGTGAGTGGAGTGGATGAACTACTTCATGGACAGTATGATAATGATTCTCATGGTGATGATGAAGACGATGATAATTATTATGATGATGTTGATGATGATAATGATGATGATTGCGATGATTCTGATGACGATGATGATTTGAACAGGAGTGTAGAACGCCGTTGTCGTCATGATCAACGTGAGATGATGAACCTCCGTCCAGAGCCGCGGTTACTTCAAGCAACATATCGTTATCATGGCGACGGTGGGAATCACAATGGACGTCGTCGACACCGACGCCACAAACGTCGTCATCACCACAAACGACGTTATCGATGGTAATGGATACCGTCGCAGATGTTACTGTCGTCAGTGATATCAGGAACGTTTCCGTCGCCACAGTCATTGATGAAGTGTTAATGATGTAGAAGCATGATTCAGGAGTGTGTGGCACGAAATTTTCCTCTTCTGTTCGTACTGGTATTTAATGCTATGATTAACATTTATTGTAAACTAAAAATAAATACTATCGCTCTCGAAATTATCTAATCTCTTCTCACTAATATATGTCTGTAAATTATTATTATTATCATCATCATTATTATTATATCAGAGAATAATTTCATGCGACAAAACACACAGTGATGACGTTCCGAGTACGATTTATGCCTCAAGATTATATGATAATTGCGCGTTTTATTAAATGCAGTTATTTCTCGACGCGATTGTATGTCTGTAATTTGTCACTGTTGGTTGAGTAGCACACTCTATTTCTAATAGGCGAGAATGTTACATATGATGGAAGAATAAAATATGGACGTTGGACTCTGTGTATATTTTCGTCTCCGCCAAATGTTAAACATGTTCACACTACTATTCACCTCACTTGAGTCTCCTAAGAAAATCTGAAGTGGTGAAAATGCGAGTTGAAACTCTGCATGCACAAACATTGCATTGTGGAGTTGACAAACTACTGATTTGGCATATGTGGAGTGGATTTCTTAATCTTCCAGATCTGTCGATCGATTCGACAGTCGACTATCATGATCTATATTAGTTCGCACACTATCACGATGGCGAGAATGATTAATGCACAGATAATCGTCGTGAATTGAATGCAGGTAGAAATCTCGCTCCCCCTATCTGTGTGTGTTTACGAAACGAATTGATAACGAAAGCGGAGACGGTTCCGAAATAATACTGCTCTTGTTGGAGCTTTTATGATCAGTTGAGTTTAGTGAGGTTTATTCCCGATATTGTTTTTAATCCTCTGTTTTAGTATTTCTTTAATAACGAGTGATGTGTGGAATCATGTATGACTCGCGAAACGCCTTAACATCTCGCAGATTTCTCACATAGCAATTGAGGAATTATGAGAAATATGTTGTTTATTCTGAGACACAAAGGCATGATGCCTTTCAGATGAAATACTGGCGGTTGAGACGGGTCCGGTGTCAACGAATTGTTTAACACAATGAATTTTGTTATGCAATATATTATTTCGAAGCTATTCTGGCAGTGTCAGTTTATACTGATAGGCACTGTGCACCTCTAACTTATGCTTCACTTCGTCTTCGTTTCCATATGCACCAATTGCGACTCAGTCACTGAGTTAGTCGCAGTCAAATATGATTTATACTTTTCTTGTTTAAGGAGGTCTGAATGCAGTTGATCGATGTGAATGCAGAACTGTGACCTGCATGTATAACTTATCTCTGAAGTGATATTGATGTTACACGGCTAACAGTGAGGATGACAATTGTTTAGTTTATTATACCTGTGACATTTCCTGTCTTACACCTTTTTTTCAGCTACAAATATTTGATTATTTATTATCACACAGTAGTACTGTCTAAATACGCCTAATTTCTCTCAAGTCAAATCCCAGTTCACGAATGTCACATCTTTATGGATGAGTAGTGATAACCTGACTCAGTTCGCCACCAGCTTCAGAGACTATGATGTGAAACCTATCCACACTACCAAGAATGAATCTTCTCTGCAAATGCATTTAACATGATACGATTTGCACGACGTGTCAGTGTGTTGTTGAATCTTTCAAACATTTCACGTTTGTTATAGGCTACTTGGCATACCTCCTCTGAGACTTACCCCTTTATGAAGTAGCCAGCGACTGTGAACAAGAAAAAAGTTTCCTTCTTGCTCAGGAGACACCCTGTTCGCTTGTGTACACAAGGGATTATATTTATACATTCACACCTATTTCCATGAAAGTAATCTTAGTAATAGAATGCGCCACGTTTAGGTATACGTATTAACATCTAATCACAATTGATAATCTCAAGTTCGCATCTCATATTATTGCGTTACATGAGTCATCATATAACTGTGGTTCTCGAATGAAGTAGATTAAAATGTGCCTTTAATCCGTACACGATAATCCGATGTTCCAGAAGTGTTACTTTCGAAACCATCGAAACGCAATTTGTCATATCAAGTGTACAAGTTTTAGCACTCTATCTGTAAAAAGATAATTGAAGAAGTAGATGACATTTATCCGAATAGTGCAGTAATAGCCGTTTGTATTTGATCCCGACATGCATACGATATGTGAGATTCAATTTCTCTACTCCACCAAACAATAATTCTCATTCAAACAGCTCTTTGAATTATTGATTCCCTCAATTACTTCCACTTTAGATAAATTCCTTTGGCCAAAGTCTCAATTTGTTAACATCGTCTGAAAATTCATTGATTCAGTTCGATATTCACAAAAACTTTGGCCAGGAGAAACACAAAATCCCTGGAACAAATGAGATATATATCGGAAGCTATCCATTGTAGTCGTATGTAATCAATATGATGATGATTAAAAAATAGTATGCATTCCTTGTGATGGAGACGAATTAACGAAAGACTTTCCATCAGATCATATGTTGAAATTGAAAAGATAAACATAACCTTATCTAGTAGACCAGTGAAGTTTCAATACTATGAATAGATAGAAGCTGAATTTATGAATAATTCCCATTCGGACATTAGTAGACAAAAGACAAGTAGTGGGAGGTTGGCTTTATGTATCTTCGGTAAGCCAATTCTGGATATGTCAGGTTCCCCGTACCATTCAATAGCGAAATGGCTCACTGACATTTTAGAACCTGTACGAAAACGAATGTGCCACTATTCACTTCGTGACACTTTCCAATTCGTCGATTACATTAAAGATATCAATACAAAGAACAAAACTATGCTCTCCCTCGACGTTGAATCAGTATTTACCAACGTTCCACTCACAGAAACTGTCTCTTATATTTGTCACTATATCGACGAAAATCAGCTGAACATCGGATTACCGACGGCCTGTTTAAAAGAACTACTACTGAGATGTACACTCAATGTGCAATTCACATTCAACGACATTATTTACAGACAACAAGTTGGGATCGCAATGGGATCTACACTGGGCCCAGTACTAGCAGACTGCTTCATGGCAAGCCTCGAGAACGGCCCACTCAAATCAACCATCGACAATCTCCAGTTGTACGTTAGATATGTTGACGACATCTTTATCATCTGTGATGACGATCACAATCTCATTCAACTACTACAAATATTCAACAAATGCCATCCAGCCACAAAGTTCACTTTGGAAACTGAAAACGAATCTAAAATCCCTTTTCTTGACATTGAGCTTACAAGGAGAGATGACGGAACTTTAAGAAGGTCAATCCATAGGAAACCGACTTGGAACGGACAATTAACAAGCTTCTACAGCTGGGTACCAATCAGTCGGAAAAGAAACCTAATTAAATCCCTTGCCACTCGCGTCAGACGCATCTGCAGCCCCGATACCATGGAAGAAGAATTAAACTTCCTGAGGGAAATCTTCATACAAAATGGCTACCCACCAAGATTTGTAGACAAAAACATCAAACAGAAAAACCAAAAGCAAGAGACACCATCCGTGCCAAAATAGATACTTTATATGAACCTATACTTCAAAGGAGACCTACTTAGCGACGTCCTCAGAAGGAGAATTTCCAACTCTTTAGGAAGAACTTTCCCTGCGGCAACACTAAGAATAGTGTTCTCCAGTCGCCCGCTGATCTGCAGAAGCCCAAAGGACAAGATTCCGCACATGACCACTTCTATGTGTATATATCAGTTCACCTGTTGCTGTGGAGCCAGGTACATCGGTCGTTCAACGCGCATCCTGTCAAAAAGGGACAAAGAACATTATCCAGCGTAGCTACAGAAAGGAAATAATGGCCATATAAGGAGTGCAATCGAACATCTAGTCAACACTGGTCATTCCATTTCAACGAACGCCCCCTTCAAAGTGATCTACAAAGTGAAGAACAACCTCCCAAAGACATTACGATTTCGTCTTCTTTGCATCGCAGAAGCCCTAGCCATCCAGTTGGTGGAACCAGAACTATGTATACAAAAGAAAATTATCCAACCACTTCTACTCGCATGGTAACAACTCCGTCCATTTGACCCAACTCTTCTTTCCTTATTTGTTTGATTTGACCTTACTTCTGTTTGTATGCTTATTTTTCTAACTTAAAACCCTTGTGTAATTCTGTATATTATTTCGTCTCCATGCTCACCCTTTGAGTACAACTCATTCATTAAACTATTCATGCCATTACGTAACTCTTATTTAACAATCATTTATGGCAACTCATCACTTTTGTTACTATCCTCTTATCAACATCCAATTCATTTGAACTTACTAACCGTATTTCGTTTGACCAATTTAATGTATACACACACACACAAAATAACCATATAAATTTGCGATTGTACAGCTTTGAAAATGAATTCACCGAAAAGAAGCTGAATTGTTTTAAATCTTTGTGACTCAGGCTTCGACTTCTCCGCGGAATGACTAAAATTCATGATATTTATAGTTCCTTAGTGACAACAGTATTTCAAACGAGGGTTTCAGTGGGAAATTCTCCTAATGTCGGGACGGTTAGCTAGAAGTTTCAAACTAATTCACACTGACTTATATAGGCTGTCATTGCAAGGTACTTTTGAAACTGATACTTGTGTTGTGGACACGAATATGAAAGACAAGAAGATATGCTGTTTTCTTGGAAACGCTTAATTTCCTTATGTCATCTCACTCAGTGAGAACTTTAGAAACTCTGTCTGTAGACGTTTCCAGTTGTAATGCTTCACTTCTTATTTGTCCAAGGTAGCTGAAGGCGTTTTTACCATTATCATTATCCACTGATAGCACTCACCTAAATTTTCATGATGGGTACTCTCGTGAGGTGAAGGATGTTTCTCAGGTGAGTCGATGAGAACCATTAATGGATGATTGGTGGTATTGTGGTGAAACAAGCATGAATAATGCCGTGATATTCAAC